TGAATATCCGATTTTGTTGCAACTATAATGTTGAATGTGTTTGTTTGTTTGTGTCTGGGCAGGCAGTTGCTACTAAACAATTGAGCTCACTCAACAGGGATGATATAAAGAAGATATGCGGCGAAAGCTTTCCACAGTGGATATCGTTTCCTGTTTTTGAGCAGGTTAGGGAATTCCCTTCATAATTTTCATTGACTTCACGTTGAGCTGTGTGTTTTCCGATGGGTAGATTTTTCTTTCGTTTCATTTATAAATTAATGAGTGGCTCGGTTTCCATGTCACGGGTGAGAAATACAGTTGCTGTTCTGAATATGGATCTTTCAGTTTCATGGGCCTGAACGATGATATGCAAATACTGTGCCATTAAAGTTTCGAGACAGTCTGTGGTGGACTCTGTGAAGTGGTCTGTTTTGTGTAGAGAGTAAGTTAGACTGTGCTAACAGACATGTTTAGGCTAGATGCAAGACTCCGAACAAAATAGAGAGACTGAATCTAATGGATGACATAGGAAGGAGAAATGTTCGATTATGTAAATTTAACATTAGCTTCTCGTTTATGTGAAGGTTAGGTTCGTAGATGTGCTATGTTTTGGATTCATTGGACTAGCTAATCACAATTGACTGGGGACTTCAAGAATGTGGAATCAAGAGAGTTTTAAAATCTATTAATTTTGCTCATAATAGTAACATATCCCCAGAATGTTGCCTCAATTGGTCATTTTTCCAGTTGTTTTCTCTCCGGCTATTTGTTTTACATGATTGGTTTGTAGATTTAAGTAAAAAATGTCCCATCTTTTTCTTCATGTACAAATGGAATTAACTGCTTGTTATTCATTATGTGCTTCTCTACCCGCACTTTCAGGTGAAATGGCTGAACAAACAACTGAGCAAACTTTGGCCATTTATTGCAGATGTAAGTCTTCTTATTTTTCCGTGTAGCAATAGGTCACGTGAGTGTGGAGCACCTGTCGTAACATGGACATTTTTGTGTCCACTAGAAATATCACTGTAATAAATTCCCTTTACTGAATATTGATTCGAATTTTCTTTTCTAAGGCTGCAGAGGCTATCATAAAAGACACTGTTGAACCGTCACTGGAAGAATATCGACCTCCAGGAATTACTTCTCTCAAGTTCAGCAAATTGTCTCTTGGAACTGTGGCGCCTAAAATTGAAGGTATCACACTGTTGACAAGTTGTGATTTTAATTTATTCATATCATTGTCATCATTGTTATCTACAGCCATTTTTGCACTGTTATCAGTTGAATCAGAAAGCATATTTGATCATCTTACATGAAATCATTCCCAGTAGATTGGGTAGATTGGATTAAAAATTATCAGTTACAAATTATCATATAGCTTTTTATGTTTTCATAAACTTTAGCTCTAAAATCAAGATTTGAAGATAGTGTGTTGATCTTCCTTCATGTCTCGGCATTGCACTTTAGACTCAAGCACTGCTCACGAGTCACAACCCTCACCTAGTCAATCGTTTAACATGTTAAAGTCCAAAATCATTCATCTGTTTGCATTACAATGGTAAAAGTGAGCATAAAGTGAGATCATACGAAAGTTGGATACACTGATCCGTGCAGGGATTCGAGTCCAGAGTCTTAAGCAAGGTCAAATCACAATGGATATTGACCTCAAATGGGGCGGTGATCCTAACATCGTTCTAGCTGTTCAGGCAGCACATGTTGCTTCTATACCCATTCAGGTTTTGGTGCATCTAATATTTTTCACCTTTTGTCCAGCAAACATTCGTTGTGCATTAACAACTGCTTTTATTTGAATTTTTGTAGCTAAAGGATCTTCAAGTTTTCACTGTAGTCCGGGCTATTTTCCAACTTGCGGATGAAATCCCTTGCATCTCTGCAGTTGTTGTTGCTCTTCTTGCTGAGGTACTTTATAGTCTGCAAATCTGTCTCAATTATATATACATGAATAACTTCCTTTAGCAATAGTCGAAAGATTTTGTAAATTTGGTTTTTAAAAAGAGAATTCTCAGAGAGATACATGTGGAAAGAGTGCATTCAATAATATCATGTCTTAATTCTACATAGTCCATCTTTTTAAATGTTGTGGAAATAGCTTCATACTTTGCACCCAGTAACTTCAGAATCAACTAAAAGAAAAAGAGTAAGGATAAAAAATAAAAAAAAAAACTAAAAGAAAAAGAATACCGTAAATCCCCCTGTTTTCTTGTAATTATTGGTTCATAGTTCAGAGTTTTTATCGAGTCTAGTATTTTTCAGAGTTATTTATATTTTTATTTATTTTCTTGTCACTCAGCCAAAGCCACAAATTGATTACACTCTGAAGGCAATTGGTGGAAGCTTAACGGCTATTCCTGGCATTTCAGATATGATTGATGTGAGTTTCATTCAACTTTACACTCTTTGCACAGAAATGAAATATCTTTCTTTCTTGAACTGACTTTGTTTTTTCGAATGTGAGGATACTGTTCAAACGATCGTAACAGATATGCTGCAATGGCCCCACAGGATAGTTATTCCTCTCGGTGGCATACCTGTTGATCAGAGGTAATGTCCTCTTTTCCCACCTACATTTGCTTACTCTTAACTGCTTTCGAAGAGACTGACCTTCAATCACCTTTTTTCCTCTTTTTCTTCTTTTGAAGTGAGTTGGAACTTAAGCCTGTGGGAAAGATTGCAGTAACAGTGATGAAGGCGAACGACCTTAAAAACAAGGAGTTGATCGGGAAATCCGACCCATATGTGGTCGTGTACATACGTCCGCTGTTTAAAGTCAAAACAAAAGTCGTGGACAACAATCTCAATCCTGTTTGGAACGAGACATTCGAGTTAATCGCAGAAGACAAAGAGACACAATCTCTCATTTTCGAGGTTTTCTGAACATTTCACTTTCTCTATCTATCATCTACCTCTGCAGATTACCTAACAATCATTAATTTGCGGAAACAAAAAAGGTACTTGATGAAGATATTGGGGACGACAAGCGGCTGGGCATTGCAAAGCTGCCTTTAATCGAGCTAGAAGCCGAAATGCCTAAAGAGTTTGAGTTGAGGCTGCTTCCATCACTCGATATGCTCAAAATCAAAGATAAGAAAGACAGAGGGACTTTAACTATTCAGGTAATATTTTCATTTGCCATGGACACGACGAATCATGTGTAAGAAAGCTAAACGTTAACTATCACACTGTCTTGTAGCTTTTTCGAACAGTGTGATTACTACTGAAAGTTAGAATCAGGAGTAAATTCGACAATTTATTCGCAGGTTCTGTATCACGAGTTCAACAAGGAAGAGCAACTAGCGGCCCTTGAAGAGGAGAAGATAATATTGGAAGAGAGGAAGAAGCTCAAGGAAGCCGGCGTGATTGCCAGCACGGCGGATGCCCTCGACGGGGCGGCATCCCTCGTCGGCTCCGGCGTGGGCATGGTCGGAACCGGCATTGCCGGCGGGGTGGGCCTCGTTGGCAGTGGGCTCGGGGCAGTCGGGAGCGGGCTGAGCCGGGCTGGGAAGTTCATGGGGAGGACCATAACCGGGCATTCTGGTGGGTCCCGGCGGAGCGGGTCGTCCACGCCCGTCAACTCCGTCCAGGAGAATGGCGGCGCGAAGCCACGGCACACTTGATTGCTATTGGGATGAAAAAACTTTTTTTTTTTTCTTCTTTTTATTTTTTGGAAATTTTGGTTTCTTTTCTTGGAGTAAAAATACAATCATTCGAGGATTATTCTTACTTTGGGTTGGAAGACAGCAACTTTGGGTTGGTTTGGTTCTCTTTGAGAAAGACAAAAACTATTCATTTTACTCGATTTTGCATCAAGTATTTTTTAGGACAAAGTTTAGTTGGGCTGATTGGGTTGATATTGTTGGATTTTTGTCGTACGAATCAATCGCACACGCAGCGGAATTTTAAAATTTTCTTACCAACAAGAAGATCCGGTTATAGCTATTCGATTTTGATCCTAGATCGCGAGAACTTACAGTTTAAGCTTTGTCTTCAACTATGGTATCCACGCAATGCAGATCCCGGTGCACGATCCAACGCAGTGAATCCCTTCTGGTGAAGACGCTAGGAATCATCAATCAAAAAGCCAAAGAGAGAGAGTTTGTGTTTTTACGGCGTATCTCAATTATCTGATCTCGATAAAGAGATACCCACCTATTTATAATTAGGCTAAACCTAATTATGTGGGCTTTAAGACAACCTATAGCCCAATAGGTAATTGGACCTAATCCAATTAATGATTTAATTATGTCTAAGTCCAATTTAAAACTTAATTATATATTTTCTATCTAATAGAAAATAATCTCATTACTAAAATTAAATATTCCAATCTAATTGAATATTAACACTCTCGATTCACTCTTAGCCGAAAAATAGATTGCATATTGTGTGACCCTATAGGCCTTCATATATTGACATAAATCTAATTTATGATCCTTACGAAACTCCTAGACTGCGTCGAAGGACGGACTCAAAATATGAAGTACGTTTACATAGACAAAGCAAACAAACCTTTAGTGTAGAATCAATAGTGATACGGTCCCTTCATTCACGACCCACTCGATTAAGCTTAGGACTTGAATGTGTGTCTATCCAAACAGCTTAATCATTTTATCTCATCCTACTGGTTGATTTTATCAATTACATTTGAACACCATTTCAAATATAATCATATGCACTGGCCAGTGACTTTATCAACCCAGTATAGAGAAAACGAGTGTTCTCTCGAAACTATATTCGAGGAATGAATCTCATCTTGGCTCAACTACCAAATCCATGTATATCATGATCTACCCAACACAAGCCCGTGTCTACCCATAAGGGCGTAAGCGTTGGACTAGGTCTAAGTAAATCACTCTATACATGAATTGCGTATTGACCTCAAGTCAAAGGACTATTACACCATTCTACACACCGTTACTCCCATAGACACATAAACAAATGGTTTATCGGTAGGGTATACCAATACTCTCTAAGTATCCATGTGTCCATCACGAATAACAATTATTCATAGTAGTGAGACATACTATATCCTCGAAAAATGTGATGCAGACCACATGTCAATCTATAACGTATCATTAATATCTCTTTCTTAATGATCATCGATTGAGGCAATTTAAGAGTTATACTCTATCGATTAACATCTCACTCTGTTAATGACAGTATTAACTCAAGGGAGCATTTAATTAAAAAATTACAGACAATCAAAAGAATTTATTAATTAATGCAAAACCACGAATATCATCAAATATAATATGAATGTGATCAAGTACATTTGTCCCACATTGATTGTCTCTAGGACACATATACTAACAGATATAACTTCATTTATTATTATATCAAGAAGGTAAGTTGTGTAGTTGGGCGTTTCTCGACCCTGAAAACTGAGCTAGCCGGACTAATATCCCTTAAAATGCTATTACCATATTCCACCAATTTGGCGGGATGGTGTATCAAAACACTCAAAATGCTCATTTTCCCTTCTTCATCTTCTTTGTGCCTTCTCTACCTTCTCTTCCTTTTTTTTTTATGTGAAGAGACAACACAAAAGACTTCGGTTGGGATTTGGAGGATTTTAAGTACCGTCGACCCCAATAGTCACGCATCGTTTGATTGCCCCCCTACTTGCCACCGCCGCACGCTCCTGTCGTGGCAGTTGGGGTTCTACCTCACGTTTTCATCCCCGCCGAGTGGCTATGCGCAGACTGGTTGTAACCCGTCGTACAACACCACAAAGCTAGCCAATTTTCCCAATGTGCATGATAATATTACTTCCGGGTTTTGGATACATAGTGGTGACAGAGAGAGAGAGTGGGGGAATGGTGGTGATAGAGATTGGATATACATAATCGGCCTATAAGCGTGAAAATTGTTGGGACAAATCTGAAAATTTAATTTTAAATGAAGGGTACAAAAGTAATTTCAACCTAAAGGATATAATTTCCAACCCTAAACCAAACAGGTTAATGGGCTAACTGAAGTTGAGTAGGTATTCTACTAATGACATGAGTGTAATCGATTCAAAATTCTATATGTAGGTGTGCATGAAAAAGAAAGACACGAGCAACTTGTAAAAATGTTTTAATGTTTTCTCTCAATTCTAGCATTTTTTGTGGAATCTCTACACAACTTTTTTGATGTAATATACTAGTTTCTTAAATAAATCATGCATTAGAAATTATGTTTCATTATCTTACCTTAATGTTTTTATATTCTTGTCAAATTGTGTCTTGACCATGCTATAGAAGTGTTTTATACTAGAATTTTTATCTGACTTCTGTAAGAGAGGAAATACTCATGTAGTTCTACAATTGTCAAAAAAATGCCCATGACCAGCAAGTGAAGGAACAAAAAATGGGCCCAAATATCATAATGAGTTAGTTCAAAAGGAGTTTGAGCAATAGAGTTACTAAGAGTAAAGTATAACCTTTAATATCTAGAGAAATGACAAAAGTCACATGAGTTACTATGTTGTTTACATGGTTTGATAGGAATAAACAATTGTAATAGTTTGTGAAAAGACAAGTGTCCAAGTCTAGAATGCCAGATATCAGGAGATACAAGAGTATTGCATGTAGTTACATCAAATACAGAGAATGCAACAGCAGGAGATACAACAAGATGTACATGTGTATTAATAGAATAAGTTAGAGTAACAGATGCTTTAGGGTCAAAGTGTATAATCCAGCTTTGGTCTCAGAAAAATCAAGCATTCTAAGAGATGTCGAGAAAGTTTTATTGCACAATTATTTGTTCGTGCTAATTAAGAGATAGATATGAGATTAAATTTAAAATGTTGAACATATAAGGCTTTGGACAAAGTTACGTATGGAAACAAATTAATATCACCTATATGTGAGGCAGTTATGACTTGTCCATTTAGTAATTTAACAGGTATAGAAGTTAGATTCACGCCAGAGGTAAACAGAGATATATCACAAACCATATGGTTTGTAGTACTAGTATCTAATATCCAAGCATGAACATTATAAAAGACCGTGTTGAACAAGACAAGTAAGTAGGCGTACATGTCGAAGAACTTGGTCGAGTGGTAAAAGCATTAGCAACAACATGACTTTGATTACCCATAGATTAGGATGTAGTAGGTACATGAGACTGCTCATAAGACTTTAAAAGCTAAGAATTCATAAAGGAGGTGGTCAGTCATGGAAGTATCATTTGAAATAAGAGGATCAATTTGTGAAGAAGCCACAAAATTAGCAGTGTCTTGGGTGAACTCTAGGACCACGAGGTCCTTCCCAACTTTGATGATAACCAATTACTTGGAAGCATTTGTCACTTGTATAACCAAGGTAACCACAGTGGATATATTTAGGACAAGGCTTGGATTGGTCTCTAGGATAAGGTTTTGAGTAATCATGAGATTTGAAATTTGGTTTGTGGTGTTTTGGTGGATTTGAGATTTAGCTGCCATGAAAATCGTGTCAAAAGGTTTGGGGTTAGAGTGAAGATTTCACTGGCTTTCTTTTTAGAGGAGTGAACAGACCTTACATAGTGATGACAGGGGTGTAGAGAGTATGAAATGTGATTGAAGGGCAGAGTATAACTTATTAAGACGTCTTAAGAACTTGATCACAGATTGTTGGGAATTGGTCATGGATTCAAAAATGTTGCAAGAACGGGAGTTAAGAGCACCACAAGTACAACGAATAATCGGTCAATATATAAGGTATTCATCCTAGAGAGGTTTAAAATAGTTATAGTAGTGAGTGATTTTCATTGAGCCTTGGTCCATCATACTCAGAGATTTTTTTTATTTGAAAAACACGAGGACCATTGTTTAATACATATCTTACTTTCAACTCATCCCAAACGTCTTTAGCAGTAGTGAAAAAGAGAAGAGACTGTCTAATCTCTTTCGAAATAGAGTTTAACAGCCAAGACAACACAAGATTGTTTGCACGAGTCCATGCTATAAACCTGACACTACAAGTAACAATTGAAGGAATAGAAACAATACCATCTAGTAGACTGAGTTTATTTTTGACATCAAGGCCATGGACACCGCACGAGACCAAGAAACATAGTTGTTGTCGTCAAATGCCTAGACCACGATGATGGCACCGTGGTTGTTGCTAGGATGCAAAAGGTAGGGCGTTGTTGATGTTTTTGTTAATATTTTTGTTTGTTTTTATGATCTTCTTTTTATTTGAGTGTTTTATAATTTTTTCGGACCGTTTGGTTGTTTTTGCTCATAGTGTGTTTTTGTGTTATTTGTGTATTTTTTATATTTTGCATCTACTTTTATATTTTATTTTTTGTAGGAAATTGTTTTTCGAAATTATGATTGATGTTGCTGGGAAATCATTAGGAATCCGTTGGAAACGAACTGAAAAAATATCTGGAAACTCACCGCAATGTTGTCGACCACGCCCAATCTGCGCACGTTGTCCAATTGACCTCGCTCATGCCTCGCACTGCCGCGCCGCGCAAGCATCCCGTTGGTCTCTCGCGGCGAACACCGTAAGGCCCAACATAAGGTATCATGTTACCAAGCCTCACGCAAGGTGTTGTAAATATTTTTACCGGAGTAGAATCGAAAGATTTGTTCCCCGGGTCGTATCACAAGGAAGGTCAGCCGGAATATCAAGCACGTTTATTC